CCAACCTTGGAGCCGTCTAAGCTTGGAGCCGTCTAACCATGGAGCCGTCTAACCTTGGAGCCGTCTAACCATGGAGCCGTCTAACCTTGGAGCCGTCTAACCGTGGAGCTGTCTAACCTTGGAGCTTTCTAACTGTGGAACCATCTTTTGTGCTGTCTTGCCAACAGCCACTGTTGTTTTTTCTACCTGAAGTCTGTTGTGGTTATAAACCTGATTACCTCCAAACAAAGAAATATGGAGACATTGAAAATGTGGTGCAGAAGGCCTAAATGACCTGCAAATCCTCGTCAGGCGTTACAGATGATGACTGATGGGCGTCCTGTAATAGCTGTGTATGTAATTCAATAAGTCACAGTGTAAGGGCCAGGATGGGGGAGGAGAAGAGCGCACACGTCCAGCATCTCCAGAGGACACCTTAACTCCTTACCCTGAGAGAGGCCAAGAGAAAGCAGAATAGACAGAAAACACTTTGTTGCCGTGACACTGTCAGCTGTTGAAAACCAGGATAAAGTGGGACAAATGGTCTGGATGCTGCTAAGCCATGTCTGAAGGCTGGCCTTGGACCTCAGCTTTCCCAAACATCCCAGTGGTTCCTAAAGCTGTTGGTGGCTGGAAGAATAAAAGCAAATTTTCTTTTTCCTTAACAAACACATCTTCTTTTTTTACACCATTATAGTCATAAGAAACTTTATTAATGAAAAAGTAATAACAGAGGCTTGATTTCCATTTCTTACAGGAAGTAGGAAATACGCTATCACAGTTAGTGAGTTTGATGTGCTCAGAATGTAGGACCCACAATTCTAGTTGAGACAGACAGTGATTGCTTTAAAGGAGTTTATAGACAGAAAGGAGCTATGGATCTGCAGCAACTGATCCATACCCCCATCACTGACAACTCTGGTTTAGGGAGAAGCACATTAGTTAGTGACCATGATAATCTGACAGAAGAGGATCGTCCATGAGAGTCACTTACCTGGTCTAACAGTTCACTCCATCTCCATGGAACGAGGCGGGATCCCGCCGATGGACTGACAATGAGATGCGGCCGGCGCCGCCCACAGTGAACCAGATGCTGCAGCCTCAGTGAACAGGCAAGAATTGGAGGTCAGGGAAACAGTTCAGAACACGAAGGATCAGAGATCCTGGGTCAGTAGCCCGGTCCAGAGTTCTGATCAGAACAGGAAAAGGCTGGTCCAGGATTCCAGGCAGAACCTTCAGATGGGAACAGGCAGCCTCAGTGGTCGAGAGGCAAACTACAGTACGCTAGAACTCGCTCCCTCCGCTGATCCAGGGTACGCTTAGTGGATAAGAGACCGGACATGATCAGGAACACTACAACAATACTAAAAACCACTCTAACCACTGGCCTCTGCGAACGAGAACACAGTGAGTGATCTGGACCCGATAGCTGGGCTGAGCCATATGTAAAGCAGCAGGAGCAGGTGGATTAGATAAATAAAATGTTCTGAACATTTAGAACCAAACAGAACCAATGGTTCTGCTGAATTACCGGATCTGTTTTCTACTATCAAAACAGTGGATGGAGGAAGCACTGTGAGCCAGAGGGCGGCGAGCTGTGAGCCAGAGGGCGGCGATTACTGCAATAATAACCTGCTGGCCTGGAGCTTAGAAATCAATTTCTTCATTTCTGAGAGATGATGTTCAGACAGCATCAACTCCACCATGATTGTTCCTAAACAATGTGGAGCTGCAGGACCTGAGCAGAGGAGCCGTCAGCTGAAGTGAGGCTGTTGCTGCTGAATAATGGCTGCTGTTATTTTTATCTTTGCAGCTGCAGCACAGCCCCCAGTGATGAGAGGAATTCACCATGCACCCTGCAAACGGGAAACAGAGCAGTAACATGTTCAGCATTGCAGAGCTGTGCTAAACACACTGAGGCTGCAGCTTAGATGGCAGGATCCCCAGAATCAAAGGCTCTGTTCTGGGCCATGGAGGTCCATGCAGGTCATTTCAGACAGTTTCTGTCCCACGCAACTTAGGCCTTTGATTGGTTCATCATCTGCCACAGTTTCGTTTTCTAACAGGAATGTTTTTATTCTATAATGTATGAAATGTGAAGCCTCGGACCATCGGAACCATAGGATTTAGGCTCCATCCTCACAGAGATTATAGATGGAACCAGGCATGGACTGGTAATTAGGCGTACCGGGCATTTGCCCAGTGGGCCGACGTACTGTTTGGGCCACCAGACCCGACATGCATATTAATAATATGTATTATTATAATAATAATAATAATAATTATTATTATTATTATTATTATTATTATTATTATTATTATTATTATTATTATTATATATCTGCCTCGTTATATTTGCATAATGCATGAAGAAAAATAAAATCAGCAGCGCAAAAGTCTGTTCCGATCATCCGGCCACAGGCTACTGCAGCCCATTGGTTATCATCCCTGACAGTCTAAAGGGCTAGGCCAATCAGAAAGTAGAAAAACACCTTCACTCTCCATTGGAACTTTGTGCAGCGGTGTTCACAGTAGTAATGGAGAAGAAACAGAAGGGAGGCGCAGAGAAAGTGTGTGAAAAAGAAGAAACGAGTTTTTCAAACGGACGCTGCGAAATGTGTCAAACTGAATGACATGTTCCCATCAGCAGGCCCTTCATCTGCTCCGGTGTCTGATGTAAAATATAATGGTGGAGGTGGTTGCAGACATCCAAAGTCTCCCGGAAGTTCCGGGAGTCTCCCTGATATCGATAGTTGTTCACGGATGCCCACGAGTCGGATAAATTATCCCTGATTTTAGACTCTGCGAGGTGGAGTTTTTTAATCCCAGTGAGAGCGAGCAGCACTACAATAATTTATGCATCATGTGCGGATTAGAACTACTGTGATTGCTGGTGAAACCTGTGCAGTATATCTGTCCAAAGCGAGGCTCTGATCAACCAGCGATCCAGGAGACTGGTTGATCAGAGAGCTGATTGGATCAGTCAGAAAAATAAGCCAATAAGTTTCAGTTTACTTTTTTACAGTCACCTGATTTTACAGCAGAATATGCTAAAGCGTATTCATGTCTTGTGAGGGGGAAGAATGATGGAGTGTGCATGTATGGCTGGCTGCACCGTGCAAAAGGTATTCACCACTAAAAATGCAACCATCAGGAGGTGGCTCACATATTGTGAGAAACGTCATGCTTTATTTTGTTTTGTATGTATTGCATTGGGAAAGACTTCTGAATCAAGCTCATTTATTACTGGGATGTCTGATTGGAGGCATGTGCACCAGCGCACAGAAGAGCATGAGAAGAGTAGCGGAATATGTGTGGTTGACAGTGACTTTTCTCTCTCTCTCTCTCTCTCTCTCTCTCTCTCGCTCTCTCTCTCTCTCTATCTCTCTCTCTCTCTCTCTCTCTTTCTCTCTCTCCCTCCCTCTCTCCCTCACTCCTTGATCTAAGAATTGTTGCTGTGCTGTGGTGGAGTTTACATTTTACAGTGTTAATAAATTAAGATTTTGGAAGTATTTTAAGTGTCCACTCTCACTAATTTCCATGGACCTGGCCTCAAGGTATTGCACAGTTGGTATACACATTCAGTACACCAAAAAAAATGTGGTGGGCCAGTCTAGTCCAAAATGCCAGGGCCAATTTTTTGTCCCAGTCCATCCCTGGGTGGAACTCCCTGATCGGGTGGAACTCCCTGATCGATTTAGGAGCAGTAAACACCTTGGTGTTGAGGTTTTAAAAAAGTTGTGTTTGTTTCCCTTACTGTACCCACTGTTGCCCCTTACCGTACCGTCTGTTGCTCCATACTGTACCCTCTGGTGTCCCTTACCATACCCTCTGCTGTCCCGTACTGTACCCTCTGCTGTGCCTTACCATACCCTCCCATACCATGTGTTGTCCCTTACCGTACCCTCTGGTGTCTCTTACCATACCCTCTGTTGTCTCTTACCATACCCTGTGGTGTCCTTTCCGTACCATCTGCTTTCCCTTACTATACCGTCCTGTACCCACTGTTTTCCCTTACCCTACCCTCAGGTGTACCTTACCGTACCCTCCGGTACCCTCTGGTAACCTCTGGTGTCCCTTACTGTGCCCTCTGGTGTCTCTTACCGTACCCTCTCGTGTCTCTTATCCTACTTCTGGTGTCCCTTACTGTAGCCTTTGTTGTCCCTTACTGTACCCTCTAATGTCCCTTATCCTACCTCTGTTGTCCCTTACTGTACTCTCTAGTGTCCCTTATCCTACCTCTGTTGTCGCTTACCATACCCTCTAGTGTCCCTTATCCTACCTCTGGTGTCGCTTACCATACCCTCTAGTGTCTCCTATTCTACCTCTGGTGTCCCTTACTGTACCCTCTAGTGTCGCTTATCCTACCTCTGGTGTCCCTTACTGTTCCCTCTAGTGTCTCCTATTCTACCTCTGGTGTCCCTTACTGTACCCTCTAGTGTCGCTTATCCTACCTCTGGTGTCCCTTACTGTTCCCTCTAGTGTCTCCTATTCTACCTCTGGTGTCCCTTACTGTACCCTCTAGTGTCCCTTATCCTACCTCTGGTGTCCCTTACTGTTCCCTCTAGTGTCTCCTATTCTACGTCTGGTGCCCCTTACAGTACCCTCTAGTGTCCCTTATCCTACCGCTGGTGTCCCTTACCATACCCTCTGCTGTCCCTTAGCGTACCCTCGGGTGTCTCTCACCATACCCTCGGGCGGATTCTTTAATTCAGTTATTAAACTGTCATTTCAGAAGGTATTTATTTTCTCTTGTTGCTGAAGTCTGCATACTATCAATTATTTCCACAATAAATAGAAACATACTTCAGTTATTATATAATCAAAAAAAATCAAAAGTGATTCAAATTGATCAATATTTTCTGTGGTGATTCCTCTATCTTACCTTCAGCGATATCTCCAGTGCTCGGTTAGCATAAAGCTAACCCATTTCTGGGTGTTTCTAATGCCGAATAAACCCATCAGTTCTTGATTTCAGTTGTTCCTTCAGTCCACTCTGAATAAAGACTGTTCTTCCTCAGATTACCGTCACGGAGACCATCCTGTTCCTGGTCCAGTACACGTCCAAAGAGTTCGACCGCTCTGAGAAGACGGTGGCCACTGGAGACTGCTGTTACCTCAACCCGTTGGTGCGCAGAACATTCCGTTTCCTGGGTAAGTAAGGGAATGGACTCCACTTGGAGTTCCCAGTTCCAAACATTTCTACTTCATGGAATTGCAGAGGCTCCTGGATTCAGAGCATATACAGTCCAGTGGGGCAATCCTGGTGGGGCCTGATGTCCACCAGGGTCTTCCTGTCGTTCCACTTCCTGAAGGCCTGCTGACCCTAACCAAAGCATTGTACGTTCAAAAGCTGCCATCCCGTCAGAACTTTGTTTACAAGCATTGGTTCTGTTGGTGAGCCAGAACCATGCAGGTGCCAAGAGGCCACCCATTAGAAATGAGAGACCTACAGAGAAACCAGAGCCAGGGCCAGATGGGGAGTCTATAGAGAGCTGAGAGGAGAACCACAAACAGAACAGGGAATGTGAGGGGTCATTTTGAATGGCTGCTACTTTATCTCTTCTGGGGTTCGTTAACCCCCCTAACAGCCATGTACACCCCCCATGTGACCTCCTTGGCCAATCCAGTGGGAGGGATCAGTGCCACCTAGTTGCCCCTAACTCTTTGTTCCACCTGCAGTATATTAATCTCAGCGCCCCCTACCATTAGTTAGAACTGAGAGAGCTTCTTAGATGAGAGTAGAAACGACTTCTAGAAAACTTGAACCTTTCAAACTAGATAAATGAATCTCAGTCCTGCTCCTCCACTACCACCCACTCTGCATTTTTAGGCGTCTTCTTGGTTTAACACCTGAATCCTAGGAAGGAAGGATAACATCTTCTGCAGCGCTTTCTGGCTGCTGATGAGGTTTTCAATCAATTGATCAGGTGTACTGCAACAGGAGCACCTGAAAAATGGCAGATAAAGGATAAAAATCAACTAATAAAGCCGATCTAATTGGATATCAGCTCTTCTAGTGTAAGAATCAAATAAACATTAACTGAATAACTTCATCATATGTTTTTCAGTTTTTCTGTTACTCCTTAGAACACAGAATGAACCTTTGACAGCCTTAAATGAAGTCCTTCCTAACTCTGCCTTCTCCGGTTTGGGGGGGGGGGGGGGGTTGTACTGCCCCTAGTAGAGGAGTTTAAGTATCTTTGGGCCTTGTTGGAAGATGGAGCAGGAGATCGATAGGCGAACTGGTGCGGCATCTGCTGTGAAGCGTGCACAGTACCAGTCTGTTATGGTGAGCCAAAAAGCAAAGCTCTCGATTATCCTGTCGATATACGTTCCAACCCTCATCTATGGTCATGAGCTTTGGGTCATGACCGCAAGAACAGGATCCAGGGAGGACTCAGAGTAGAGCCGCATCTCCTCCACATCGAGAGGAGCCTGTTGAGGTGGCTTGGGCATCTGATTAGGATGCCTCCTGCACGTCTGGAGCCACTGTCACCCCAGTATCTGGGGCCACTGTCACCCCAGTATCTGGGGCCACTGTCTCCCCAGTATCTGGGGCCACTGTCACCCCAGTATCTGGGGCCACTGTCACCCCAGTATCTGGGGCCACTGTCACCCCAGTATCTGGGGCCACTGTCTCCCCAGTATCTGGGGCCACTGTCTCCCCAGTATCTGGGGTCACTGTCACCCCAGTATCTGGAGCCACTGTCACCCCAGTATCTGGAATCACTGTCTCCGCAGTATCTGGAGCCACTGTCACCCCAGTATCTGGAATCACTGTCTCCGCAGTATCTGGAGCCACTGTCACCCCAGTATCTGGAGCCACTGTCACCCCAGTATCTGGAGCCACTGTCACCCCAGTATCTGGAATCACTGTCTCCGCAGTATCTGGAGCCACTGTCACCCCAGTATCTGGGGCCACTGTCTCCCCAGTATCTGGAGCCATTGTCACCCCAGTATCTGGAGCCACTGTCACCCCAGTATCTGGAATCACTGTATCCACAGTATCTGGAGCCACTGTCACCCCAGTATCTGGAGCCACTGTCACCCCAGTATCTGGAATCACTGTCTCCCCAGTATCTGGAGCCATTGTCACCCCAGTATCTGGAGCCACTGTCACCCCAGTATCTGGAATCACTGTATCCACAGTATCTGGAGCCACTGTCTCCCTAGTATCTGGGGCCACTGTCACCCCAGTATCTGGGGCCACTGTCTCCCCAGTATCTGGGGCCACTGTCACCCCAGTATCTGGAATCACTGTCTCTGCAGTATCTGGAGCCACTGTCACCCCAGTATCTGAGGCCACTGTAACCCCAGTATCTGGAGCCACTGTCACCCCAGTATGTGGAATCACTGTCTCCGCAGTATCTGGAGCCACTGTCACCCCAGTATCTGGGGCCACTGTCTCCCCAGTATCTGGGGTCACTGTCACCCCAGTATCTCGAGCCACTGTCACCCCAGTATCTGGAATCACTGTCTCCGCAGTATCTGGAGCCACTGTCACCCCAGTATCTGGGGCCACTGTCACCCCAGTATCTGGAGCCACTGTCACCCCAGTATCTGGAGCCACTGTCACCCCAGTATCTGGAATCACTGTCTCCGCAGTATCTGGGGCCACTGTCACCCCAGTATCTGGAGCCACTGTCACCCCAGTATCTGGAGCCACTGTCACCCCAGTATCTGGAATCACTGTCTCCGCAGTATCTGGGGCCACTGTCACCCCAGTATCTGGGGCCACTGTCACCCCAGTATCTGGAGCCACTGTCACCCCAGTATCTGGAATCACTGTCTCCGCAGTATCTGGGGCCACTGTCACCCCAGTATCTGGAGCCACTGTCACCCCAGTATCTGGAATCACTGTCTCCCTAGTATCTGGAGCCACTGTCACCCCAGTATCTGGAATCACTGTCTCCGCAGTATCTGGGGCCACTGTCACCCCAGTATCTGGGGCCACTGTCACCCCAGTATCTGGAGCCACTGTCACCCCAGTATCTGGAATCACTGTCTCCGCAGTATCTGGGGCCACTGTCACCCCAGTATCTGGAGCCACTGTCACCCCAGTATCTGGAATCACTGTCTCCGCAGTATCTGGAGCCACTGTCACCCCAGTATCTGGAATCACTGTCTCCGCAGTATCTGGGGCCACTGTCACCCCAGTATCTGGAGCCACTGTCACCCCAGTATCTGGAATCACTGTCTCCGCAGTATCTGGAGCCACTGTCACCCCAGTATCTGGAATCACTGTCTCCGCAGTATCTGGAGCCACTGTCACCCCAGTGGCTTTTAGTCAGTAGATTGTATGGAATCACCTTTTTGTTGAATATTTACCATTTGAACAGCAGAAATGTTTCTCCTCAGTGTTAGAGGACAAAAAGTCAGATAAACACTTTTCCCAAGCGCTTTCACGCCATGTCACTCCGTATTCAACACCTCCCGCCTTGAGTTCCCAGAGTGCTGCGTGTGAGCAAAAGTGAGCAGAGAGTCAGGGGACTGTGATCACTTTGTTGTTGACTTGTGAATAAGAGCATCTCCGTGGAGATGTTGGATCAAACATTCACAGGCAGATTGTATATAAAGCTACTGATTAAAACTGAAGAGCAGCTGAAATATGGTCAGAATTCAAATATTTCACTGCTGGATCTTAACAAGGCTGTAGGCAGAGCTTCTAAATCCATCCCTCCATGTTCCATCATCCTCATCCATGCTGGGGTTGTGAGGGGTGCTGGTGTATATATGGGCGAGAGTCGGGGTCCACCATGGACGGGTCGGCATCTATCGCAGGGAGCTTCTAAATGAAAAACAAAATTTGGCGGGGGGATAAAAAATTATATAAATTCTGGTCTAACCCTCACTGGCAGCTGTTTTGTCTCTGTCCCCCTGCTGCTGTGTGTCTGGTGACATCATCACGCTGGGTTAGCAACAGAAATCAGGAAAGTAAACAATGAAGAGCAACATGTCAGGAAGCCAAGGCATAGTCAGTGTGCTTTATTGTTACTTTAGTTTATTGATTCTGTGAAATGATTCGATTCCTTATCGATTATCTAATTGATTCTCGTCACAGTCATCTACATCTAAAGGAGAAGGCATCCGTTTTATGAAAAAGCATTATTGTAAATTCCAGGAAATAAACTCATCTCCCACTGATTTAAATTAACGAGCGTCACCTTTCTCTCGCTACCTGAACTGTGGAGCAACTTCGTAGCATATTTCGTTACATCCATTGCAATAGCTAGAATCATGTAAGATTCCTGCTACCAGTAGTTTTAATTAAACATGCTAGCAATGAAGGGCTGCATTAACGAGAAAGGCACACTCCCTTAATAACCCCAAAGAGAGGTAGGGAATTGGTTTATTTCCACAAATGGCATACGATTTAGTAGGAACCACATTAAGGACAGCCAGTGAAATATAAAAGCTATTTACCAACAGAGTTGCCTTCCATGCTGGTCGGAACTTTAGCTTCTGTTCTGAAGCATAAAACACAGCATTCGTTAAAATGTATCCCATGTTGTGTGCGCAGAATTTCTGTATGTTGGGTGTATTTCCTCCCGCGGATATAATTACCACTTTGCACTTTGCAAAGCGCCTTGTTGTCATCTTTCCCTTCTGTAAAATGAAGCCAAACCTTTGATCGCTTTAGGGCGGAATTTTTTTGTTTTGCTTTCTAGACTTACGCCTGGTCACGTCGTACCTGCTTACTGAATGCTGTGTGCGTAGCTTGCATAAAAAATATGATGTAAGTCGTGCTGCCCAGGCCCTAGGCTCTGGTGCTGCATAGAATTATTAAGCGAACTGTCAACTGGTGCCATCGAATTAGAACACACGGAACGGGTTCTGAACAGGAACCGGTTTCGATTCCCTCCCTAGCATCAAGCCTTAAAACGATGACTTAGGAAGCTAGCAGCTACAGAAACCAGTCCTAGACCCCTTCCGGAACCCGTCCTGGAAACCATTCTGGAATCAGATCTAGGAACCTGTACAGGAACCCGTCCTGGAAACCATTCTGGAATCCGATCTGGAACCTGTACAGGAACCCGTCCTGGAAACCATTCTGGAATCCATTCTGGAACCTGTACAGGAACCCGTCTTGGAAACCATTCTGGAATCAGATCTAGGAACCTGTACAGGAACCCGTCCTGGAAACCATTCTG